TAAAAAGCAACTTCAGTCGGAGGCTTCCCTCTCAATAACCTCCAGTGAGTGTCCCGTGGGAGAAGCTCGCTGTTTGGAAACCTGAGGGTCAGCAGATTTCTAAGCCAGGGTAAACACCTTTGCACAAAGCCTCCAGGTGGCTGTTTCTTCTGCTTACTAATATGAAGAAAACACAGATGGACCTGTGCTCACGAAAGCTGCAAAGAGGGTCTCTGGGGAACTGAATGGCTTGAGATTCGAAAGTTCCCTTGAGTCTACACAAAGGGAAGTGAGTGTTCCTATCCCAGCATCCTTTGCAATAAATGGGTATTGCATGCTGCCACAGGGCTGTGTGCACAAATAGTTGTGTGCTTGTACACACCCTTTGCAGACCGGTGTGTGCCAAGGTGGCAACTGGCAGGGTGGCAATCAGTGGGTCCTATTCTTTAATGCCAGCATGTGGTATTCACATTTGTCTACTTTCTACTATCACCATTAATATCATACTATTAATGTTTTCTGAACACAATGCACTCACTAGGCACCATGTTCAGTGGCTTTAATATGTGTCTCTCTCTTTCTGCCTGTCTTCTTATTAAGAGGAGAACTGCATTCTCTTTACTTTCAAGAAAAGAAACTTATCTGGGCCTTCACATAGGAACTTGTCCAAGACAAAGTGGTTGGTCAGATAAGGCCAGATTCAAGTTTGGTCTGACTCCCAGTCACTCCGGACCTCATCCAACCCAACAAGGGTTTTAATTACATGAATAAAAACAAGGTGAGTGAAGCAATTAGCCAGAGAAAACAAGGGCAGAAGATGGAGGACATGATGTGCAGTCCTGTGTGTGTGCCGGAGGTGGGTTTCAAACCGAGTCTTGAATTTTCTAAGCACAGAAAGCGAGGCACGGGATGATAATCCACGGTGTTGCTATAATACCAGTTCCAACTATTTTCTCTGGAGAAGCACAGCAATCCCTCTCTCAGTGAAACTTCTTCTCTGCGGTTTCTTATATAGGATTTTAAAAGATGTTGTCATGAATAAAATATGACCTGATCGCGGGCCAGTAAATTTTGTAAGGCCGTTTCTCATAAGGCCTGGAGACACAGGCCAAGGGCTTATTGATAAAATGTGATCATTGCAGTCAACTCTGCAAGGCCCACAGGCCCACAACAGTGGCTCTCAGGGAGGCAGCAGACCCATCAGGCAGGTTTTCTTCATGTATGCATCAGTTAGTTAGCTTCCACTTGCCTCAGTTTCTCCTCTGTGAGGTGAGGATAAAATATATTGTATATATAATATATAAGAGTGGTATATTAAATGGGACAGGACCTACGAAGCACTAAGGATTTTGTTCAGAGCACTACTTATAATAACTGATATCCACTGGGCAGTGGTGTTACACACCTTAATCCCTGTACTCGGGAGGCAGAGGCAGGTAGATCTCTGAGTTCAAGGCTAGCCTGGTCTACAGAGTGAGTTCCAGGACAACTAGGAGTACACAGAGAAACCCTGTCTCAAAAAAACTAAAATGAAAAACAAAAATAAAAAAAAAATACTATCCTCCTTATCATCAACATCATCTTCCTCTTCTTCCTCATTGTCAATATTTGCTATTCGTTTAATTCAGACCTAAACATTGCCAGGCCAGTCTAAAGTTATACCTATGTATGAGCTGCTGAGACGGCTCAGTGAGTAAACATGCTTCCTTCCAAGTCTGAGGACCTAAGTATGATTCCTGGAACTCACGAGGGTGAAGGAGAGACAACTAACTTCTGTAAGCTACCCTCTGACTTCACATGTATGCCGTGGTGGACACTCACACATGCGTACACACACAAAGTAAAGAGTTTCTTTAAAGGTTGTGTCCATTCTTAAATGGACACATTTCTTAAACTAGGCTCACATGCCTAATGGGAGAGACGCTCTGGTTCTCATAGCAGTTGCAATGTTGAAAGATGCCTACAAAACCAGACAAAGTCTGTGTGGTAGTTTGAATGTAATTAGCCCCCAAAGGCTCATAGAGAGTAGCAGTATTGGGAAGTCTAGCCAGCACCACATCTGCCTGCACACTGTCACGCTCCCTGTCGTGATGATAATGGACTGGACCTCTGAAACTGTAAGCAAGCCACCTCAATGAAATGTTTTCCTTATAAGAGTTGCTGTAGTCGAGGTATCTCTTCTCAACAATAGAAACCCTAACTAAGACAGTCTGTTTTCTCAGAAAGCAAGGCAAGTGTCTGATGATGCTCAAATATGGTTCATCCCAACGCTGTGACAAAGCATGGCTTCCTCAAACACCTAACACAGATGGAACTCTGCCATAAATTCTCTTGTATAACAACCACAAAATACCTTTATTTTAAAATAAATTTACTCTCAGAAGGAAGCCTTTAGGACAAACTGCTTCCCAGAGAGTCTGCAGTTAATTCTACTAACTAATTTGTTGTCTATGGTTGTTAAGGGTTTGACCCAATCCATTTTGAAGAAGATTCACTAACACAAAATATTGCTTTCAAAATGGTTCATCACAGCTTCAGTTTTTCATTAATTGAGTAGCATTCAACTGAAGCAGGATTTTACCATTCAGAATCATCTACCCATTTACAAGAAGAAAACTGTTGTCTTTGAGACACAGAAGCATGTTTACTTTTCTGGGTTCAACTCACCAGAGGATATTGGCTAGGTCATTAGGTATAACATCCAGAGAAGAGGAAGCCTCAACTCTTTGCTTTCAGAGTTCCAGCTATGTGGGATGGATCCTAGAGTGTCCCGAGACATTGTTATATAAAATAAGTCTACAGAGTGGGTGGTGGCGGCTCACACCTTTCATCCCAGCACTTGGGGTGCAGGTGGGGTAGAGACTGGTGAATCTCTGAGTTCAAGGCCAGCCTGGTCTACAGAGTAATTTCCAGGACAGTCAGAGATACACAGAGAAACCTCATCTTGAAAACAAACAAACAAACAAAAAACAAAACCCAAAAACAAAACAAAACAAAAAAAGGAAAAAAAAGTCCATGGAAGAGGACACACACTTGGATTGATTTTGAACTAATCATTTCAGAGGTTGAACCTAGCTGACCTGTGTAATTTTGATTGAAAAGACTTAATTCATACCTCAGGTGTCTCTACAAATCTCATCCAAACCTGGCTTTCCCATTTATGGTTTGGGATCATGAAAGACAGGTAGATCCTCCACCCAGGACTGTGTTTCCTGAGGTTTGTTCTATTCAAGTGTATGCAAATGACTAGTTCTTATTAATGGAAAGAGAACAGATGTGAATGGTGATGTTTGCCTAAGGTTTTGTAAGAATGAACAAGGCATCTCTGTGCTCCTCTTTGCCCATTACCAGGCCAAGTAAGGGACATTCTGTGATCATTCAGGATGCTAGTTACAGGATGGGAGATGCTCGGGTCTCTGAATCGCCATGTGGAGGGGAGCCAGCCATCACCCAGCAGCACCGACATTGGGACTTGGATATGTCTGAGAAGTAAAACTGAATGTGGGGCACTCAAGCTTTGGGTTTCATTTACTGCAACAACCATAATTACTATAACTCAAGTAGGCATTTATCTTTCAGAATAAGTAGCTTTTAAAATTACTCAAGAGAAGCAGATAAAAGTCAGTTAAGTTCAGTAATCCAGACAGAATAATTTTTACAAGGTATGCTTTTTAAACTTATTTTCTCAAGATGACTCTTGCAAAAACAGTTTACTTTTGTAACTAAATATCTGTGCCAGTTGTCTAAAAAAAAGTCTTTCCTTCCCCTCCCCCCTGCCCCCTCCTTCCTTCCCCTCCCTTTTCCTTTTCTGAAAACAGACCGTCTCCTTACCTAGGATGTTTACTGATAGTTAATGGTCTGGGTTTGTTCTTTCATTTCCACCTTTCCTTGCTGTAACGAGCTTGGGGTAAATTCTGTTATTTCTGGATATAGTCCAAGATAGCAAGTCAGCAAGCCTGAGGGATAGTCCTGGGGTTTCCCAAGCCCTTTGCTTTCTATAAAAGTGACTGAGATGAAGAAATCCTGTTATCCCCCCGCTGCCTGGAGAAAGTTTTCACCTGTTCAGACCCACAGAGCTTCAGGTCTCCATTCTGGCCCTGGGTGCTGAGGGTGAGGCAGACAGCATATCCCCCCCACCCCCACCCCCATGCTGCTGCCCCGGGCCTAGGACTGGGAGATGTTCAATCACTATTAAAGGTCTGTTGTAGGCAACAGAGCGTGAAGGAAGAGCCAAGCGGCAACACTGGTGTTTGTAGTAGGAAACGTTACCATCAGTTGCTGCAGGGGCTTTTAAAATGATAGAGACAGAGGCCAATTCGACATTGAGAAATGAGGAACTCACTGGACTGGGCAAAGGTTTCCGCTTGGTTTCTCACTTGTCTTACCAAATTGTGGCCTCCTCAGTCATTGACTTTCTTTGAGTAAATCTCTTCACATGGCTCCATGTGTGTACCGCCCTGGTTTCCCAGCTACTGCCCTGGATTTCTGCCTCGGGCTCCTGTACCCCTTCGACGCCTAGACTCTAGACTCCATTTGGACATTAACCCTACTGACATGTCACGGCCGTTTTAGCTTGTATGATTTTCTGCAAAGCACTTGTCATTACTGGAAGGTATCTTGTGCCTTTGTTTGCTAGTGAGTCACTTGATTCCTTCATGACAGTGTCAGCTCTGGGACATCAGAGACTGTCTTGTTCACTGTGGCATTGTTAGGGACTAAAACTCTGCCTGGTTCGTAATAAAGTCCCAATAATCATTACTGAGTTAATAACTGACTATTAGAACGAATGGATGGATTTATGGATTCCAACGATGAAAATGCTGTAGCCTTTCTCCTAGAATAAAAGACTATGAGGAAAGCATTTCACTGAAGGCGGGAGTGAGATTAGAGTTTAAGACGGCTCTAGAGCATTGTGTTGAGGTCCTCTCTGCATTTCAATCTTATCAGTCACGGGGGGTGGATTCCATGCCTTTCTCATGCAAACTGGGTCTTTCCCATCTGGCGTATTATGTGTTGCTTACCTCACGTCGGGCTCCGCAGTGGCAGCATGCAGTGGCAGGCGGCCATTTTTATCGGGGATGTTGTGCTTGGCACCATTTCTGAGCAGGCTCACACAGCCTTCAAGCCAGCCCTGAAAGGCAACAGCCGTCACATCATTACATAACACAGCCTCATGTAACACAGGTCAAGAAGCTTTCTACGGTGTGCGTGCGTGCGTGTGTTGTTGTTGTTGCTGTTTTGGCCACTTCTTTGCTTCTTTGGTTTGGCTAAAAGCTTGTTTAAGTTGAAACCATTTAAAGACCACATGTGGTTCCATCTCCCGCACCTCAGCAGAGAGCTGAAGTCCGAGCTTCAACGTCCCAGGTTTTCTGTAGGATCGTTGCCCTCTCCCATACAGACTGAGGCAGATGCTCTCTTGCCTCTCCCTTCCATTTCCAGGACCACTCACTGGGATTCAACTGCTACAACTAGGCTGCCCCAAAGATAGCATGTGACAGGGAGCGGTCACCTGCTCTGGCATGTGGCTTAGCTCCAAATAATACATAGCACCTGTCTGACTTGGATGGCAACACCCACTTCCAAAAGCTGGCTTCCTAGCCCACTTCTGAGTCCCAGCCTGCATGCTTAGCCTGTTTCCCATGTCTAAAGTGGAGGTCTTGGTTCTTCATTAGCTCATATTCTGTTTCTGATAACCCGAAGGATAGCATCTTGCTTCCTTGAGTCAGCCTCTTCTCAGCGCTTAGATACAAAACCTGAACACCCTGCCAATAGCTGTGACTCTAATGCTGATACCCTGCGGCTCCAATGATGACACCCTGGACCTCTAAGGTGAAGGCAACCTAACATTCTCCAAGGGATACACATTGCAAGGCTTTACACACCTACATATTTCTTAGGAGGCTGTGTGAATTCCCTGCACCCTAATTGTACCCATTGAAATTTGATATTATCACCTTGCTGGCTAGCACGTCAGTCCAGCTGGGTCATGTCTTCTATCTTACGTTAAAGGACATTAGTAGCCTGAGGCTAGCCCTGCCCATATTTACACTGCTTTCTTAATTTACACTTCTGTAGCTGACCCAACCTAGCTGATAACCAAGCTTGGTTCTCATTGCTAAGTAGAAGAGGTCTCCTACATTTATCTGCAATTCATGGGCTACTCAGCTACTTATAAACAGACAAACAAATAGATAAAACTCTTATTGAGCACAGTGGTGTGATAACCTTCTATTCAAAAGCAGTTTTTAGTCTTCCTCCGTGTGTACATAGTCCAGCCTCAAGGTGTCCCAGGGAAATGACTGAGGATTCTTTCCCTTAGGATGGCAGTATTGGAAGCAGCAAAACCTAAGGAGTTAATAAACTTATTGAAGAAAGAAAATAATAATATGAACAGAACTTTGTGGTTTTGAAGAGTCTAGACAACAGTTGACAGTCTAGTTTTGTGCATCAAACAAGAAACACATTTTCATGGAGATGCAAATCCCAGAATTTGAGAGGCTATCAGCAAGAGGATCAGGAGTTAAGGGTCATCCTTTGATATATAGTGACTTTGGGGCTAGCCTGAACTACATGAGACCCTGTCATAAAAATCAAAACTAAAAAACTTCATGGGCTATGGTACCAAGTAGGGCTCTATAGAATTGGCCAGCAATATCTGTCTTAAGTAGAAACAAATATTTGAGGGAGGCCTTGTCAGTATTGACTCATAGTTTACTAATGTAGTAAATCTGATTCTAGTTGCTAATGTCTAAGTCATCAAGTTCTCTTAAAAGGAAAAATAAAAATTGATCAGGGGATCCAAAAGCAAGACATGCTGTGCAGACTTCAGAATTGCCCAAGATTTAAATATGTTTTTTGAAAAAAGCAAATCTTTTGATGGGGTAAGCTTTGAAACATCTAAAATATTTTGCAATGCTTCCTGGAACTCAATGTGTGTTTGTGGTTTTCTTCATTCCTTTTTTTCCTTCTTCTTCAGAAAAGAAATTTAAAAATCAGTGAAGATATTTGAAACCCTTGATATCATTTGGAAGCAACAAACGAGCATCATACCTACTAGGTGCTAGCTGGCCTCAGCTTTTTCTACAGGTGTGATAAGCTTAGGTTACAGTTTTTACTTTACCTCAAAAATAAGGAGAGAGGCACAAAAGGGTGAAGCGATTTGCCCAAGGTCACATGTCTACAAACTTGTCTACAAATTTATTTGTACCCTGAGTCAAGACTCTGTTCTAAGCCTCTTTTGCCAAACTTCTCTTAATGATCAAATCTAGACATTGCTGGATTTCACAGTGACCCTCAGAATGCTCCTCTTCCCAGAGCCTCAGCATCCAGGGGCTGCGTCCAGACTAGGGGACTCACACAGAGGCCAGGCACGGTTAAGAAGGCCATCCAATCTGGTGTCATGTTACTACTTCCCTCATCCAGCCCTTTAGACTGGGAAGAGCGCCCTGCAAAGTGTCACATGTCTGTGATCCAAGTTGCCCCTCATAATTGATGTTTGGAGGAGCACTCTTTCAAATTTTGAATTTTAGAGTTTTAAGAGACATACAATTTGTTGCCACCATTTTATTGACTCGAATGACAGTCAGCTTCAGAAGCCATTTCCACCCCTTTGCTCTGCTCCTTAATCCAGATGTTTGCTTTTCTTCAGCTCAGACTTGAAAGAAGTTTGTAGCAAGAGCAGTTATGATGGCAGGTGCTATAAGGGAGGTGACTGAGAAGGTGGTCATACGTCTGTCTGAGATATGGAGCCTCGCTCAGCTAGCCCATGCAGAGCAGTGCTCGTCAAACTCAGGTGGACACAGAAGTTTCCAGGGAGGTTAGTTTATCCAGCAGACTCCCTTCCTCCCCTGCCCCCATGCTATCCAAGGAGTATCTACCTCAGAACCAGCCTTTCAAACAAGACCTCTCAGGGATATTGATCCAAGAGGCCTGCGGACCACACTTCAAAAACATCATGCCTAGATTTGTTTGTGGGTCCTAGAGAAAGAGTATGCAAAGAAAAAAAAAATGAAAATGTGGCCTCTGGAGAAAATCTCTGTGGGAATTGAGCAATGCATCATTGCAAGCCCTGTGAATTGTGGCAGGAAGGGGTGGTGTGTTTGGAGAAGGAAAGTGTTTTACTTCAGTGGGGCACCCTAGGGGGCCTGCTTGGGGTGAATCCGCCCCTACCAACTGGCAGCAGCAGGGAACCCAAGAGGCAGCAGATGTGACAGAAGAGTGGCCATGTTGCTGGAAAAGAAGAAAAGCGATGAAGTGTCCCCCACGTGGTGGGTAGGGCTTGTTTCACGGAGACTTAAGCCAGCCCAGGGAGAGTCCAGAAGGATCACAAAGAGGAGAGGGCTAGAGGATTTTCAGTGAGTCTTAACCAAGCCTTGCTTCAAAGTTGGGCAACGCTGAACTGAAGTCCCGACTATGAGGAATGACGTCACAGTTTCTAATGTGAGCACTAGCTCTGAACCGACTCCATCACTTGGTGTTGCCCTGTGATCCTGGCATGTCCCCTATGCCCTCCCTAGTCCTCCCACTCTTCCCAGTTCTCATCGTTTCTCACGTTCTTCAGCCTGGAGCTTCCACTCAGCTAATCCCCATCTAATCCCACCCCACGGACCTTAACTGGATCTTCAAATCAGTACCACCCTCTGGGGGTTATTTATGGCAGCCTTCTTAGAAATACCCAGGAGAGCCAGAAATGTCCCAAGTGAAATTCTAATGCTGAGATAGACAAGAACATTTCCCGGTGGTCACACCACCTCTACCTTAGCTTGTGAAGGATCCACGCGAGCCTTGAGGGTCATGAGTAAAGTCCAAAGTCCAACTCTCAATGGCTTTCTGCATCAGCCCATGGGCACCATTCTGTGAGTCGAATCCCCCTGACATCTTTAGGTCCCTTGCTCTGTAGCCCCATTAACAAACATAAATGCGTACCAGGTACGTTGCCAGGCATAAACTGGTGCGGCCATAGGCATCCTGGGTATTAATGTTGGCGCCCATCTTCAAGAGCAGTTTCACCGTGTCCACTTGACGGCCAGAAACCGCATGCATCAAAGGCGTGCATCCTGGAATGAGACATTTCAACAGCCTTTACGAATCTCAGTTTAACTTCTGAGATTTATGAGCACACCATTTGTCTGTTCATTTATTTGGCTTTCCTGCAGCATAAATCCAGCTGCTGGATTCTGTGGGCCTGAAGAGATGAAGATGAGGGATGGCTTCTGTTGGCGTAAGTGTTGGGTTTCTTGCTGACCTCCCCCACCTCAGTTGACTGTAATTCTCCCCTCTCCTCCTGCCCAGGTGTCTGTAATAGTCAGTGGATTAAAACACTTTGGGCAGATGACCAAAACTGGCTGTTGTTGCCTCAGGGATGTGACTAACTCCGGATCTACCAGGTAGATTTATCCCGACTGAACTGATGTAGTACAGAATCCAGAATGGCGTTTGGTCCACCCTGACAAACAGGTTCAACACACTTTGGGAGGTAAGTGGGTGGTAAAGCTGGGTGGTAGCCTTGGGCTACACAAATTCTCAGCATCCACCTCACTGACTTCCTCTCTTTCTGAATCAATGCAGCCAAAGGCGTTTTGTTTTCCAGTGTGTTTACTTTCTGAATAAAAATAGAGATGAATGGACACATTTTTGTCTAACTGTGGGGCTGTTGGAACAAGCAAGGAATGCCACGTTCCTCCATCCAAGAGACCAAGCTTAGATCCAGAACTGGCCCGTGCTTAGATTCTGTTGAGATGGAGACCCATGTTGAGATTAAGATTCTCCCTGGGATGAACCCAGCTGTGGTCTGCAGAGATCTAGCAGAAGGGATGAATCTCCAGACCACCTTTCTCACGGAACACGGCAGCTGGCGACCCAGCAACCCTCTTCCTGAGATCCTTTTCAGACATTCATTCTCGGTAAAGCAGCAATAAAGTGATTCTTAGAACAATGAGTGGTGAGATTTTCCTCTCCTCTTCCTTTCTCCTCCCTTCTTTCTCCTTTCCTCCTTACCCCACCCTCATTTTTCCTCCCTCCCTCCCCACTTCCCTTCTCCCTTCTTTCCCTTACTTCCTCCCTCACTTCCTTCCTATCATATAGTTATAAGCCAGTGTGGAGGCAGAGGCAGGCAGATCTATGAGTTCAATACCAGCCTGGTCTACAGAGTGAGTTCCAGGACAGCCAGGGCTACACAGAGAAACTTTGTCTGGAAAAACCAAAAAAAAAAAAGAAATAAAAACTAGAAAAAAATGAAAGTGGTGGTTATGACCATCAGAGGGGAAAGGACATAACGAACAAGAAAATGAAACAATTTGTGAATCTGAGGTATTCAAGCAAATTAATTTTTGCATACTATTTTCATAAAATTACATACTCTGACTAGTTTATATCAATCCTGAGATTATACTTTCTATATAAATTTCTTCAGAGAACAAAGAACAGAAAATGATGTTAACAGATAAGATTTATTATAAAATTATGATAACTAAAACAAGAAATAGGGCTGGAGAGATGGCTCAGTGATTAAGAGCACTGACTGCTCTTCTAGAGGTCCTGAGTTCAATTCCCAGCAACCACATGGTGGCTCACAACCACTTGTAATGAGATCTGGTGCCCTCTTCTGGCCTGCAGGGACACATGCAGGCAGAATACTGTATACATAATAAATTAATTTTAAAAAAAAGAAAGAAAGAAAAGAACAAATGTATTAAAAAAAAATAAAACAAGAAATAGCTCAACAGTTTAGAAAGGAGAGTCCAGGAAATACTCAGACTTGCATGGGCTTACTGTATAATTTAGACAGTGTACATAGGTGGAGAGGGCAGAGGTATTTAATAAATATATACTGACAAACTGGCTGCACACACAAGGGCCAAATTCAAATGCAGCCAGACTCTCTACCACCCATAAACACAGTCCAGATGGATTAGAGATGAGATGTAACAAGCAAAATGTAACCATCTGAAAAGAAAATATTTACTCATGTTCTTATAATCTTCAGGACTTGTGGAAGAAGGAAAAGCTAAAAACTGTGGAGGAAATATCTTGTTAAATTCAATTATATAAATTAAAATTTCCCATAGTACATATTATCAATCAAAATTCAAAGACTAGGTGTACACTGTCAGAATTTTTTTGTTTTCAATTTTTAGTTAATTAACTATCATTTTTTTTTTATTGAGACATGATCGTAACATGTAACCTAGGCTGGCCTTGAACTAGTGATCTGCCTGCCTCAACTTTCTGACTGCGGGGATTACATGTCTGTTCTGCCGTACGTAGCAGGAAAAGTTATTTTAATTTGTCAAATTAAAAGATTATTAGGTTAACTAAATAACACTTCAACCAGAAAGACACAACAATCTAAGAAGGAAAAGGAAATATAGGTATGCAAGCAATTCCCAAGAGAACAAATACAAACTAAACAAACAGACAAAAGATGATTTCACAGTCAGGGGATACACGTTTATGTGGCACTGGAAACTAATTGCTGTGTATTAAGTTAGCGATAATTACTAAAAGAATAAATGCTCTGTGTGGTCAAGGATTTTAAACCAAGAACAGCATCATCATTTTTGTGATCATCATCCTCATTATCCTTCTCCTCCTCCTTCTCATCATTAATAAGGGGCCTCACTACACAGCTCAGGTAGCCCAGGCTAGCCTTCCATACTGCTGTTCACTTACGCCATTCCCAAGTAGATCAATTTTCATTACTCATCTTTGTTCATCAGTACCAAAGTTTCCCTATAAAATATGCCCAGAAGTAGAATTACTTGGTCACAGGTACAAACATCTTGAGTTTGTTAAATGTTGCCAATTTTGTTACCCAAATGGCTGTCCAAGTCTATACTTTAACAAATAGTATGAGTCGTGTCCGTGTCGTCGTGTCCCCCCCCCCCCCCGGCCCGCGCGTGCGCTCTCCCAGGAAGTATATAGCTTTACCACCTCGGCCTCCCATGTGAAGCTTTATGGCCTCCGCCTCAGGACTGAGCACCTAAGCACCTATCTAGGCTCTAGAACGCTTGGGTTCCAGCTCTTGTTCTTTTATTAGCTGTGGGTTTGGGCTAAGAAATTTAGCCACTACTCAAGACTGTTTGAAGATAATCTTAGGAAAGAAAATCAGAGAGGGAAATTTGCTAAGTTGCCCTGCATAGCCTTGTACTTTAGCTTTCCAAGACATAGGATTGCAGGCTTACATCACGATGCCTGACTTCGTTCTCTGTCACATTGAGACAGCTCCTCTCCATTTCTGTTTTCTGATCTTTAAAATTATGGTTGTGTATTGCGTTTCATCAAGTGCTTCTGTACCAATTAATATGATTATGTGATTTTTCTTCTTTAACCAGCTTGTTTGTGAGACTTTATTTCTTCTTTTGCATTTATATTCATGAGGACAGTTGATATATGCAGGGATTTAAAATATTATCTTTAACTGGTATTGATGTTAATGTAAGTCTAGTTATACAGCAGCTAAGAAGTATTTCCTTATTTTCTTTTTTTGAAATAAATAATATAAAATTAGTGATAATTATTCTTTAAACATTTATAGAGGGGCTAGAGAGATAGCTCAATGATTAAGAACACTTGTTGCTCTTCCAGAGGACCTGAGTTTGGCTCCCAGGACCCAAATGGTAGCTCACAATCCTCTCTGTAACTCCAGTTTCAGAAGATCTGACACCCTCTTCTAACCTGGGGCACCAAGCATGCCCATGATGCACATTAAGTAAAAAAACTCATACACATAAAATAAATCCAAATAACAGACAAATAAATACATTGTAGAAATCAGTAAGACCATCTAGGGCTGAATGTACTCCTCTTTAGAAATTTTTTAAATTATGAATTTAATTTACTAAATAGTTATAGAAATATTAAAATTGTCTGTTTCCTACTAGAGAAATTTATGGTAGCTTACTTTAAAATTGTTTATTAACAGCTAATGATTGTACATATTCCTGGTGTTCATTGTAGCATGTTCATGTCCTTGGTTTATTCCTGACAGGACCAGTGATGGAGGGATTCCCTCTCTGCGGGGCCATGCATTAGTATGTAGAGTTTCTTCTTAGCAGTTCTTTCATATTGTTAATCCTGGTGTTCTGCCTAGAGAATGCACATTTTCAGGGGCTTTTCTTTTGTCCGTGTCTGTTGGCATCCTGTGTTGAACACCAACCTTCAACACCAACCCTGGGATATACACGGCAAAAAGACATCCAGAGAACTCTCCACAATGCCAATCTTCAGATCCCAGGACGTAGCCAATCTGTCATTTTCTCTTTTTTTCCAGTGTTATTTTTCATCATATCCAGACTTTGCAGTTGTATTTAGAAATAATATAGGGGGAAATACAACCATGCTGTCCTCCCGAGAGCCAAGTTCTCTGGTCTGAAGGACTATGATAGTTACATTTCCCCGACATCCATTTCTGCTAAAGTAACCATCTCTTTTTAGACACTTGTTATAACTACAGGTGACCAGAGAGAGAGGATTCAGTCTCCAAAGACCTTGTTGTACAATCATGAGGATCTGAGTAGGGTACCTGAAACATGCTTAAGAAAACCAGACGTGATGTTTTGTGCTTGTAATCTTAGCCCTGGGAAGACGGAGACAGGCAGATACTTGGGACTCACTGGCCAGTCAGTTTAGCCTATTAGGTAAGTTCCAAATTCCAATGAGAAGCCCTGTCTCAAAAATAAAGTGGATGGTACCTTAGGAACGACACCTGAGGTTGACTCCTGGCTTCCACAAGCATGTGCACACGCATACAACTACTTGGCCATTCCTACCAAAATACTGGAAACAAACCAATCATAATAAGAAATGAAGTAAGATGCTGAAGGTCTGTGTCCAACACCTATGTATAGAGAAATGCCAAGGGATGCTACATGGGCCACAGACAAGATAACATTCAGTATCACGTGGCCAGTCCAAAAGAATTTCAATGGTGTTGCTCATCTCAAGAGACCATCTCTGAGAAGATAACGCACTGCAGCCTGGATTTAAAAATGCACAAACAGCTCACCTTCACTGTCACAGCATTCCAGGATAGAAGGGTCCTCTCGAATCACGGCAGTCAGAGCGTTGACATCTCCATTAGATGCTGCCTGATACACCATGGCCAAGTCGACTTCCTCAGATGAGTCACCTTCGCAAATCAAACAGACACTCTTGTTAGTGTGCGGCGTGAATTCACTCAAAGAATAACACAGTCCAAACTGTCACCCACGCAAGTGATTCACTCACCCTACCACCCCAGTGCATCCAGGCAGAGGCTGAGTCAGCCTGGCCACATACTCCCTGGACACTTCTGAGGAAAAGTGACCCGCTGTGGGCCATTTGCAACACCGCCGTGTGTTGACAAGGAGCCTTGGGGTTAGACGCCCTTTGATGCGTTCTGACTCTTCAGGCATTTGGGTTTCCCAAAATTAGAGAGAGCCGAGAGAGAAGGCCCTCTTCTTGCTTCCAGTCTACTCTTCAAGATCTGAAACAGGCTACATGGTCTCTCTTTTGTTTCTTGTTTAGAGGCAGGGTCTCGTGCCACCCAGGTTGGCCTTGAAATTTCTATATAGCTGAGGTTGACCTCGGATTTCTGATCCTCTTACACCCACCTCTTGAGTGCTGGCATTGCAGATGTGGCTACCATGCCTGGTTTTATGCACTTGTTGGGCATCGAAAGCGCGTGCTTGCTAGGTAAGCCTTCTACGGAGCTACATCCACCGGCCCATGGGGGCTTGGTTCACCGGTCTTTGGGAGAAGCATTATGCTCCTCCTTCTTTCTCTTCCAGAGATGCTCCACACCTTTTCCTGTCCTGATCTTTGCTGACTCTGTCTCCAGATGCCCTTACCCTCTTGCTGCATGTGCGAGAGGCACTGGCAGCCTGGGAAAGGGGAAGATGGGGCTATCCTTTCCTCAGCCACCTTTTCTCATGTGGAGCTGGCTCTCACTTAGCCCCTCATAACCTATCCACCACCATTGTCCTTCAGCTGTTAAGTTGGGTAATTACTCTTGGTCTCCATCTATTACATTTGTATTTGGACCTTTTGCCTCATCTTGTATTTTTGTCCTTTCCTTAAAACCTGTTCCCTTTCTTTCTTTCTTTCTTTCTTTCTTTCTTTCTTTCTTTCTTTCTTTCTTTC